GTTAACCATCATCGGAGTGTCAGCCGGTTTGCAATCCATTAATCCAGTTTCAACTAAAAGATCAAGGATATACTTCTTTTGACAAATAAAGATCCCCTCTTGAGATTTGAGAACTTCAATGCCAAGAAAAAAGTTAAGTTCTCCAAGATCCTTCATGTCGAATTCCTGGAATAGCTTGCCTTTTAGTGTAGCCATCTCTTCTATGTCACTACCAGTAATTATCATGTCATCCACATAGATAATCAAACATGTTATGAGCTTGCCTCGCCTTTTTAAAAACAAGGTATGATCAGAGTTGCTTTGACGATATCCATATTTCTTCATGGCTATCGTGAATCTGCCAAACCATGCACGTGGAGATTGTTTTAGACCATATAAAGCTTTTCTCAATCTACAACCTTCGCCTTTTCTGAAATCTGATGAGAACCCAGGTGGTGCTTCCATGTAAACTTCATCTTTTAGTTCTCCATGGAGAAAAGCATTCTTCACATCAAACTGATATAAGGGCCAATCTAGATTAGCTGCTAAGGAGAATAATACTCGGATAGTATCAATTTTGGCTACTGGTGAGAAAGTCTCAGAGTAGTCAATACCATAAGTTTGAGTATATCCTTTAGCTACTAATCTAGCCTTATATCTCTCGATTGTACCATCTGCTTTGTGTTTGACTGTAAATACCCATCGGCATCCGACAGGTTTCTTTTCTGGGCATAGTTGGCATTTCTCCCATGTGTTGTTTTTCTCTAGTGCCTTCATCTCCTCCTCCATTGCTTTTCTCCATTCTGGTATTTGTATGGCTTCATCTACTGTTCTAGGAACTTCATGGCTGGATGTATGAAAAACATGTGATACACTCCCCCTGACTAGATCAGCAACAGGATATCTTGAATTCCGGGGGATGTATTCTGGTTCATATCTGATTGGAGGAATTCCCCGATTCTTCCGTAGTGGGAGAACATATCTGTTTGACATATTCAATTCTTCCACACTATCATTAGATTTATTAATGCCATCATCATGGGTGGGAGAAATACTAACCTCAGGAGTCTTTTCAGACGAAGTAGAATCAGACATGAGATCTGAGTTGTTGGACTGTTCAATGTTCTCAAAAATTGATCCGACAGAGCGACTTACTTCCTCGGTTGGGACAGTTTCAGGTGGCAAGACTGAGCTATGTACTGGTGGCAAGACTGGGTTGTGTAACCACTCTAGAGAGTCATTCGTGATTTTCTCCCCCTGACAACTAGAGTGGTTATGGAAGTAGTACTCAGTTTCCAAAAAATTACAATCCATTGTCGTGTACATCCGACGAGAAATAGGATCATAACATCTGTATCCCCTTTTGTGAATCCCATACCCAACAAAGACACATCGGACGACACAAGGATCAAATTTTGTTCGTTTGGCTTTTGGAATATGTACATATACAGTGCAACCAAACACACGAGGAGTGAGAGTCAAGGAGGTAGGAACAGTGGAGAATTTTGCAAGTGTATCAATGGGTGTTTTGTGATTTAGGATTTTTTTCGGAAGGCGATTTATGAGGTAAATGGTGGTTGCAATTGCTTCGGGCCAATAACAAATCGGAACATTGGACTCGATCATAAGAGCCCTAGTGATTTCGAGTATAATCCGATTCTTACGTTCAGCAACGCCATTTTGTT